GGGTTGTGGGCTTTATACCGGAGTTAGACCAGAAGCCTTGCCTCGTGCAACCTTTCCTGTTTCGACCTGTTTTCAGCCTGCGATCGTCAGAAAGACCAGAGGTCCCATCTTCATGCAGCCTAGCTTAATTTGGTGGATGATTTTTGGCTGATTGGGTATGACATGTATTGAAAGCCGGTCAACCAATCATAAAGGTTTTCTATTTTTATTTTCTATTTAGCTATATAAAAATTGTCTCTATTAAAATTTTCTTTTTAGTATATAAATTCTGGATTATTGAAAAGTTATATACCTCTTAAATAAATTGTTGCAATTATATGGTTTAAAAAATTGATATTAGTATAAACAAACTTGTTATATCTTCAAGCTGCATATATCTTATAGACAGGATTGTGAATAGACAAAGTCTAATCAAAAATATTATTAGACCAATAGATTATTAAATTATTGTATAATGTCTATTCGTCTAATCATTATATTATTTAGTTGTTATTAGACAATGTCTATTGAAAAAAATTTTAAATTAAACAATATGTATATTCATATATCAATTGTTATTTGTCTATTGGTTAATTGGTTTAATAAATAAATAAAAAATCAATATATATTATTTAAACCAATATGAAAAAAATTCATTATAGTAGAAAACCACGACATTCTTTCTCTTCTCATATTAAAGTCATTCATGTTTCAAATTCAATTAAAATATAGTGAAACATATGCTATAGAAAATACTCAAGACTTCGATTACATTTTAAAAATTGCCAAAATTTTAAAAAAGCTATTAGTAATAATGAATATGAAAGATTAATACAAATAATGTCAACAAAAAAATTAATTTCTAATTCATTATCTTTTAAATCTAAACAAAATAATTTACAAGATAATAATATTGATATTTATTTATAAATAATTTTAAAAATATATTATTGTTATTAAATTATTATTTTTTTATAATAAATAGATATAATTCAACAATCAATATATTAAATTATTATTTTTTTATAATAAATAGATATAATTCAACAATCAATATATTCATATCTTGTAAAAAAATATAACTCAGTTGATAAATCTCATTTTGAAAAATCAGTTTTAAATGTAACAATAAAAAATAGATAGGTATTTAATTGGATAGAAAAAAAATCATCTATTTCTATGCTCAAATAATATTGTTGAAGTATCATTAGCATTCAATAGATGAAAAAATATTTTGAAACAAAATATTTTTGGAATGGTGCTTATTACATCTCTTGATAAAGTATTAGTTTGGAATGTTCAAGATATTAGTTTAAAACTTGATTTAATAATTATTGTAATATCAAAAATCGAGGTATTATTTGAAGAGTTACAAAAGCAACAAATTAAAATTGCTGTTGTAATTTCTGATTTTGCACTGGCTTATGCAGCTACAAGGTATGTTTTGTTATCATTAAATTCAAATAATTAATTAATTATTTATTTTAGATGTCATATGTGTAAATTCAATTGTGAAATTGTTTTTCTTCCTTGCTTTGCTCATCAACTTATTTTGTTTGTTGAAGAGATTTTTAAAGAAGATATTTAATTTAATGCCACTGCCAAACAAGTCATTGTAATAACAAACTACTTTAATAATCCCAATAATTCTTATTTTATTGATAAATTAAGAGATGAACAAAAAACAACATATAAGCGATATATTGCATTGTTTTGTTCTGGTGCAATATGATAGAATAATTATTATAAAGCATTCGGTAGTCTTTTATGCTCAAAGTCATCTTTAATTGTAAGAATTATAATATATATTTATTTAATAAAATATTAATTTTAATTATTAACATTAATATTATTTTATATTATAGTCTTTAGTTATGAAATTTGTAGCTCCTGAAAATGATGATCTAACTTTGTCAAGCTGTATTTGTGAACCAATTAGAGATAATGACTGGTGGAATGCAATATCAGAATTATATATTCTACTTACACCTTTGTGTCTTTGTTTAAATCAGCTTTAAACTGATATAGCACATCTTTATAAAGCATTATACATTTTTAATTATATTTATAAATTAATGAATGAATATTCTAATATTACTTTTGGAATGAAAATGATGAAGTGTTTGGAATGATGCTAGAAAGAATGGGAACAACCTTTACTTATTCTCAGCTATTTACTTTATCCTGATATTCATCTTACTTGATTTAAGTTATCAATCAATGGCATTACATTTGTCAAAATAGGAAAATGAGTTACTTATTATTATTGTGCTTGGTTTGGAGATCCACCAAAAAAAATTATAACCAAATTACAAGATTATCAGGACAAGTAGTTTTCTTTTTCAAAAAATAAATGGAGTCAATTTGAGAGAGATATTTTAAAGTATTGGAAATATTGTGCTGAAATTTGACCTGGCTCTCTTCAATAGCATTACAACTTCATGGGATACTTATTAATAGTGTATCTGTTGAGAAATTATTTTCGTCCATGAGATTTTTTTATACTAAAAGTAGACATCTATTTAATATAAGTATTAAATTATATTGTTTTATTATATTATTATTATCATTATTATTATGCTAACTCTAATTTATGGTAAGAAAAGATTTTAAACATAAGCAAATTATGTGCTTCAATGCTTTATAAGAATCAGATCAAAAAGATTAAAAATAATGCAAACTTGTGGTCTCTAACTTTGCACCTCTAATATTTCAAAATTTTGGCTTAAAAGATAATGAGTTATAAGTGAAGATTTTATTTCAAATGTAACAGAATGGTTGGGAGTATTAGAAACTTAGTTTTTGATAGTAGAAGATGAAAAAGATGCAAGTTAATTGTACTATGAAAATGATATGTCAGATACAAATGAAACTATTTAGAACCAAATCATACATAATACAACTTATTTAGCTGATAACCAGTCTGCTAAATGGGAATTGGAAGGCCTGTTTATATTAGATTTTGTTGCATCATGTTATATTATAGAGGCTGAGGCACAAGAATTATTAAGAAAACAAAAGAAAATAGAGTTTATTGGAGATGAGGATAGAGCTGAAATGGAAGATAGTGATAAATTATTAATAGAGAGTGATGGCAAAAAATTTATGAGTGAAGACTAGTCTATTATTTTTTTAATTTATAGGTTATTTATTTCAAAAAAAAAAAATAACTTAAGTTTTTTTATCATTCTTTTGTGGTTTTTAATTTCATTATCTACTATTATGTTCTTCAATTATGTTATTAATAAAAAAATTATTCTCACTCAGATCCTTTATTAAAAATATATAAAAAATGATATTGAGAGTGGTATCTATTATTATCTGATTTTCTTATATTATTTCATAATCAATATAAACATTCTAATATAATCAATAATTACATTATAAAAGAAAGACAGAGAATTGAAAGTGCAAAATAAACATTATAATCTGGATGGCCCACGTGAGGTGTAGCACATCAGTAAATATGATATCCTACTTCTCTATAATCTCTAATGGCCTACGTGAATTACTTTTTAATAATTAGATAGTAAGGCTTTTGTTCATGTTTCCTTAGTTTGTAAAAATATTTGCTTTTGATTTTTTCAAGATCAATCTTTTGACATGTTAGAATTTATTGTGATAAGTGCATGTGATATTGTTATTTAATAAGTTATAGAAAAATATAATGTTAATCTATTTGGTCATAGGAAAGAAAATCAGATATGAAGGAAAAGAGGAGTTTGCACATTACAGAAAATTAGAGAGAAGTAGGAATGCCCAATAAAAGATTCTGGAAATAGCAAGAACCAGAAATGTATCTTTAGCACAAATTATCTACTATGAATTCAAAAGTAAATTGAACACAAATGAGAAAAGTGAGGCCTCAGAAAAGGCTCGAGACATTTACATAGAAAATACATCAGGAGAGAATAGCATATGTATTGATGGCCAAGCGAAATATTGATGTGTTACCACTTGATGAAGTTATTGATACTGTGACCAAAATCCTTTTGGTTGAGTGTCAAAATTGTAGTTTTTAGAAGGAATTAGAGATTATATAGAACTATCTGTTGTTCCAGAGATAATCTCTCACAAATATTACAAGAAATGGCAAAGATTCCTCAAGAATCTTTGTAATCAAAATGTATTTAATAAAATAAGAATATTTATTACGATACAAAAACAGAATTCCAAGTGATTACAAAAGTGAGTTATCCTAAAACTGAAAGACCAAATTCATGCATAGCAGCTACTTATATAGTATTTTTTCTATATAGGCTGCCTGGGCTGCTTGGGGTGCTTGGGCTGCCTGATCTACATGTCATGATGTCCTTATTTTATAGATTAGATAGCCTTGTGGATCCTTTGAGCCTTGTAGGCTGCTTAGGCCTCCTGGGCTGTCCAATCTACATTATACGGACTATAAATCACTATATATGCTATAAATAACTAAATAAATGCTATTGCTAAAAATAGAATAGGAAATAATCCAATAAAAAATAAGTAAAATAAGACTAAGTTATCTATTCTATTACAATATCTATATAGCTTGTCTAACTAGAAAAAAACATTGATTATGTGAATTACCTAAAGACTTTAATTATTTTGGTTTTATTGAAATTTACAAGATAAACTAGTAATATGTTACCGGCTTTTTTTAGATCTTTTTAAGATGTGGAATCAGATTAAAATCTTTGAAGCTTGTGAATCATAACAGACTTGAAAGCAAATTCATATATCTTGTGAAATCAAAAAATCATAGATTAATTGAATCTGTTTGAAAACTTTATTTGGACATGGAGATTGTAGATGGAAATTTCTTCACTAGGATCAGTAATGTTTGTCAAAATTTGGTATATATTGATATGTATTTAAATTTACATCTGTTAATTATTCCTTTCAACTACCATTTTGATTATACTAAAACTTTATAATACAGCAGTGTGAAGGGTAACTCATTATGTGAGTGAAACAGAATATTATGGAGAAATAATATAACAACAATTATTACTATTATATAAGATTGCAAAAGTTACTTTAGTTACATTCTTCCTGTATTAACAACTTAAGCATATTTATTGCACAGAGTTGAGTTTATCAAGGTGGACTTTACAAAGTGTAAATCTTTTAACGGGTTGCTATTTTTATTTTGCAAACATTTAGAGATGAAGTTATAGAATGTTGTAATATTGACAAGTGTTTACTTGGACCTTTGTTTAAAGTAAAATTTAAAAAGGCATATAGTGAGGAAAATAGAAAATATAGATTACAATGAGAATGTCTTGAGGAAGTTAAAGGTAAGAGAGTTTGTTATCCTTAAATTCTATTATTTGATAAACTTGCAATACTTACTGTTTGGCTAAACAAGTGAGAAACAAGGGGCTTGATTTCATAATGATATGACTTCTGGATCACTTTTAACCAACTTGGCCTATTCCTTATTACTAAACTGTCCTTTTATTTTTGAGAGTAGCGACAGATCCACAATGCAAACTTTGAAATTACACTTATGATTATAAAAGCCTTGTAAAAGGTAGTGAACTCCAAAAAGATATACATTGGTGAAACTCTTCAAAGTAGCAAAATATGAGATAGAAAGCAAAGATATATGAAAGGTTTGTTTGTGAATGGATTTATTTCTCCATATTTGGTGATTTGAGCTTATTCAGTTGTAGTTTTTTTTGCAGATTATCCATTGGATGGACTTTTATCACTGAGATACATCAATCAAGAATTATTAACTATCTCAGTCCTTCAACATTTATTTGAATACTCGTTTTAATTATTTTTGAACTAACATATAACTCGACTAATAACAAAGAAGAGAAGATAAACAACCCAGAGTTCATGATATGGAATCTCAAAAGAACCTACTAGAATTAATGACATGGGAGAATCAAAAGATGTTCAGATTCTTGCATTTATTGTTATCAAGGTCTCACTTGCATGATGGGTTCTGTACAGAAAACTAATTACCTTTCATACTTTTTATATCAAATAGGACTCGGAATAAAATTGTCATGCTATTATGTTGATCTCAGGGTAATGAGCCTTACTAGTGTTTGAATCTTACAATATTGGGAGTATATAGGATAGAACTTACAATCATTTTTGTCAATTCTTTGTTGCCATGTTTTGGATGGGATTCTTAAGATATAAAAAAAATCGAGAGGTAAAAAATCATGTTACTCTAATTCAAATTTGATCAAATTGTGTATGGCATTCCATCTCACAGAGCATCTCTTCAATTCTGTATTCAATTCTTAAATTTAATAGGTAGGGTATACCCCACCATCATTTTTAATAGTGTTTCGAACCTTATGCGATTCATTGCAATTCTGTTCGATTTCAATTTTTAAAACCATAGTCTTGTCTTACAGTCAGCACAAAATGTTAGAAAAAAACTGGTGAGTCATATAACCACATACACAGTCAAAATGAAATTAGGCAAGAGGTGGTTAGATTTGATAAGTGGAACGTTTACTTAACATAGAAACAACTTGACATGTTTTATATATTACATGTGTTATTCTATATATGTGCCACTAGGGATTTTTCCAGACAATTGGCCTTAAATACAATTAGAAATTTGGAAACAAAAATACTAGGAATTCTTGAAATAAAAGTGAAAAAGAAACAAAAGAGAGAAAAGAATATGCTTGAATGAACAGAATAGGTTGAGAATAATAAAGAGAACTGAAATCATATTAAAAAATGGATTTGAGAGAAATTCAGGTCAAAACAGTATAAATAGGAATTGTCTAATTATCATTATCTATTATGTTTGTCTAATATCTATTTAGTATTTATATTAGTTAGATCATGATTTCTAAATTAATCAATTAAATTGCTTTAAAATTATATATATATTTGTTTATTGTCTAATGACTTAAATAAATATCATTAGACTATTAGACTGTCTATTGAGCCTATTGGTTTGTCTATTGTTTATTTACAACCCTGTTATAAAGATTTAAAGAATAGTTTAATATACATCTCTTTTCGCTAAGAAGAGTCTAATGTAAGACACAACAAAAGTGGTTCCGACCATTCCAGTATTGACCTATAAACCCACCTAAACACTAGTAAAACGTAATATTAAAACCTAGACTTAATACTTAGACAGGTGCCTAGTGTGAACTAGGAAGGATTAGAAATACCCAAACACATGAAGGCACTGCAGCCAAGTATACAGGTTGGCCTCCAAGTCATGAATGGGATTTGGCATGCTTGCTTTTCAAAGTTGGCTTGATATATGGCAGGCGGAGAAGTAGAGGAGAAGAGAGTTGATTTTTTTCTATGCATGAAGGCACTACAGCCACTTTTCACAGGTTGGCCTCCAAGTCATGTAAAGAGTTTGGCATATTCATTTTTCAAGTGTGGCAGAAGTGTCCAATGGATAGAGTTGAATTGGAATTTCTTAAAGACATTGTTACCTAACCATGCACATGGACCTACATTATTGAGGAGTGATCGAGAAACTTTTGTTGTCAATACCAGCTCTGTTTGCAGGAGTAACTAGAATCCCTGGTTGTCACGTGTCATCTTACTAGGTATCCCAGACACCAGCCTGTCACTTGTAAGAATTTATACTGGCATTGGTTGCCATATTACTGGATACAGTGAGGCGCAACTTCCTGGGAGTTCAGATGACAATAGTTGTACAGTGGCTTCTTAGATGTATCTAGTCTAACCATTAACAAGTAAACAATGTCAGATATGGTAATGATGACCATGCTGATCTTTTGGAGGGGTAAACCATCTGTCCTTTTTCTAAAAAATTATGGAAGCAAGAAACTTCTTAAGGCCCACAACATAAAAGAAGTTACTACTTCTTAATATGGTTCTTGAGAGAAGGGAGTCAACTGGCC